GGAAACTGTATCAATTTAGTGGAGCAAGAACTAGCTTTCTCAGGTTAATCAAAACTTCCTATTGGAACTTAAAAGTTTGACTAATACGAAAATGGAAAAGATTACTTAAGCACTTTGTTTGGGATCCAAAGCCATTCTAATCATAGGGGGTGGGAGAAGAGTAGGAATTACCAAGAAGGGGCCTGCCTGGGTAAATAAAAGAGTAAGAATTAAAAGGGAAGGTAGGTGATTAGAAAAAAAAAAGAACAGGTTGGGAATCACACGAGATTAGATCTACTTTATGTCAGTGATCACTTGCGACTGTTTTGGTGTCAATGTTCTATCTGCCGGGTATCTTAAAACTCTTCTGTGATTCGAAAGATGGAAATGACAAGCTACCCTCCTCTTCTCCCTTCCTGAAAGCTAAGGACAGAGAAAAGTAGATACGCTTCTGAGAAACAAAGATGCTTTCTACCATTCTTCTAAGATGGTGGAAGAGTCTCCCCTTAGGAAGCTTCCCCAAGAAGGAAAAATGAAAGAGAGAGAAAGCCACAGCCAATTCCCTGGCCGTGCTTCGTGCCAGTGCTCCGTCACATCCACTGGGCAACGACGCTGGCCCAGCCATCTGCCTCCCAGGAGGTGAAGCCCTCCCAGGGCATTGTTCGGCCAGGGTCCCTATTTACCACTCGGATCGCCTCCACCATCCCTGCATTAGGATCTCGGGAAGCCCCAGGGCAGAAAGCCGAAAAGCTTGGGAGAGGACTTCGTCCCCAGGACCTCCTCCGCCACCCTCTTACTAACCGGTGTAGAAAAGGGAAGGGAAGCCTGGCCTTTGCTTGGGTGGATTCCTTAGGGGTCAGAGGAGTCCCTTCGGCCGATGTCGAAGGGAGGTGGCCATTTGCGCCAGGCCTCTGTATTGAAAGAGCCCTACCAGGGCGAGGGGCCTCCTTCTCAGGCCCTGGACTCCCGGCCCCGGGCTGGGTGTCAGGTGCGGCCCTCGGTTACCAACCCTCGGGGCACCGTCAACGACAGTGCACAGGCCCCGGACTAAGACCGGTCTCCCGCCCGACCGCCGGGGGACCACGGACCCGGGCTGGGGCCCGAGCCGCATCGTGCCCGCCCCCGCCCTACCTGAGGGGACCCAGGCGGATTCGCTAAGGGCCACTCCCGGGAGCCCCGCGACGGCGCGGCTCGGCGACGGAGGCGCCTCGTCTCGCCGGGGCAGAGCTCGGCGGCGGTTTCACGACCTCAAACTCCATCGGGAGCTACAGGGACAGCCCCGTTGGCGGCGGCGGAGGCCGCGACGGGGCCTCCTCCTCCTCCCACCGCCGCCTCCTCCTCCTCCTCCCTCCTCCTCCTCCTCCTCACCACGGAGGCGGACCTGGAGGGCTCCTGGACCTAGCTCTCGCGAGAAGATACTCCCCACTTCACGCGAGAGCACGCAAGACCGGGAATTGGGGCGGTGGAAGGGAAGTCTAGTAGCCCCTGCCACCTGGATTGCGCATCAGCTTCCCTCTGGTTGAGCCGCACCACCCCTATCACGTGACTAGGGACACCCGGAGCACTGTGGGAGGTACTGTTAGGAAGCCTAGGCAAGCGGAAGGGGCTGATGGGAAACTCCCTGCACGTTCATCTGCGCCTTGAGCCAGCCTCCTGGACACTGGTTTGAGCTAGTGTCTGACTCCCCATATGAAAAGCGTGGCATCCATTTAGCATGGTCTGATACATCTGTATTACATTCTACTCACTCGCTCATAATCAAATGCTGACCCCATCCCTCAATCCTACATACGCGCCAAGCAATATCGCTATTAAAAAGAAAAAGCATTTGTTTGGCAGGCAGTAACACATACCTCTCTTTATTAAAGAGAAAGCTCTAAGCTCCTCAAAAGCTGGCGGGGATAAAAACCCAAGCACAAATTCTGGTATTAATAACTCAAATATTTGTTGAAGGATTTTTCCCAGTAAATTTTAAGGTAGAGATTATTCTTATTCTTTTTTATAAAGAAACAGACTGGGAATCGGGTTAAGGGAATTAATATTTATGGACTACTTATTATGTGCCAGGTCCTGTGTTGGGTAATAAAAATTTCTTTTTTACTGTTTTTAGTTTTATTTATATTTCATTTACTCAAAATAATCGTAAAAGGCAGATACTATGTACTTTTAGTTCTTGATGAGAAACTGAAAACCATAAGATTAAGAAAATGACCATGAATTGTAATTAAACTCAAGGCACTTTCCAATGTGAAACCAGATGTCCAACAAAAGCATCTATGAAAGTAAACCAACCACGAATTAGAAGACACATGGAAAAGCAGTTTTTTAAACTATGAGCTTTAGAAACATATGGTTATTACTGTGCATAAGACAGAAAAACCTATTAAAAAAAAATATTCCTTGGCCACATCAAAGACTTTTCTTCTTTTTTTATCCTTTTTATTCTCTTCTCTTCATGCCAATTCTAGAGAAAGGTTCTTAACAATTTAGTTGTTTTCCATTCAACTAGATAATGATGGGTGTGTTTTCCATTCTACTGTATAGTTGTATATGATGATCTGAGATTTTTCAAAGGTGGCTTGACTATTATACTTAAAATCACAATCTCATTTTCCCTTCCCTGGAACTCCCTGCTTTATCTTCTCCATTTCTCAAATCTGACATACATTAATTTTACTTATTTGCTTATTGTTTCTCTCTATACTATAATTTGTTTCATGAGAGCAGGGGTATTTGTTTGTATGACTAACTTCTAGTACAGGTGTATATATATTGTAACGACTCTGTAAATATTTGAATGAATGATTAAATGAATAGCCAGGAGAAATAGTTTCCTTCTTTAAAATTCACAGATGTAGACAAAACACAAAATCCGCCATTCCCATTTCCAGTTTATTATTTCTTATGTAAACATATAGGATAGTTACATCCAAGGAAAAAGGGAAAGGATTTTCTCTTACACCAAAGTAACAACTACCTTTCCAAGATCTTTTATATACATAAATGCTGTAAATGATGAGGCTGACCTCAAATATCGTATTGCATTTTGCCCCATCATATCAGAAACACAAACAACCAAAAGTGAATGTTTTAAATGAATAAATTCAACACTTCACTTTGCCATACCTGCATTTAAAAAAAAGATTCCATTTTCCTGAAATTGTTAAACACATCATGCAAACACTCTCCTAGGAATGTTTTGAAATCACGTTGTGCTAACTGAACAAGAATAAATAATAATAAATAACAAACATCACTTTCACAAAACACCCCTTCCCCCAAGCAAAAAATCTCAAAAAGTGCTTACAAAAAATTTCACAAGAATCTTACGAGGCACACATAAAACTTAAACTTTAATTCAACCATAATTCTTTTGAACATCAAAGAGAGTTGGTAATAATTCCTAAAAAAAAAAACCAGTTTACTGCTATTCATTTACCCACCCCTCAGCCCCGCAAAATTTCACCCTAGGAAGCGAAAACAAGAAAAGTATTTTAATCACTATTTCTGAAAAGAAAATGTTTTCATGCCTACAAATGCCCAATCATAGGTCAAATGAGAAAGAAAATTAAGCACCACATTATCATGTTCTCCAGTGTCAGAAAACACTTCAGAAAAATTCTGTCTCCAACACAAAAAGCAACATCAGAAAGACACCAAACTCTCCTCTCTTGCTCGCCCCTCTTCTCTGTTCTTAGGAACTCAGGAAGATTTAAAAATAAAATCATAGAATTTTAAACGTGAAAATGATCTTAGAAATTATCAAGATCAAAGTTATTATTTTACACATACATTTAAGAAAAGCTCAAGGAGAGTTGACCTGTCCAATGTCACTAACTGGTGACTTGGGGACACAAAGTCAGTTTCCTTATCAAATATGAGAGCTGGATTCTTTAAAGTCTCTCCCAGAGTTAAAGTTCCATGGAGAATATATTTTTCACAACAGTATCACAGAAAGGATAATTAACGTTTATAACAATCAATATGTGACTCATCACAAAATTCTTATAAATGGCACAAAGTATATTACATATTAAAATATAGTAGGGCTTCAACAGAAACTAAATATAGCAGAAATTCTACATAAAGCTGGGGTGAGTAAAAGAGGAATAGAACATCTTGAAACTAAGATGCATCCAGTCAGGCTTCTTTACTAAAAGTAGTTCCTGTGTTTTAGACAATATGATTTGCCCTGCAATATATTTTAATCTGTGTTATGACAACAAAAATGTTTTGTGTTATATGTAGACAAGGATATTAGAGAGCAATGGCTCATAATACAATCTAAAATACAACTCCCAGTAAAATAACCACACAGTCATGGTTTTTCTTTTGGCACATTTCTGGAAATATAGCATCAAAATCTAGAAATGGTTAAGATTTTTGTTGGGCCAGTCAAGTGGCATGTTGGTTAAAAGTTGGCTTGGGACGCCAGCTCTGAGCAGCAGGACCCAAGTTCGGATCCCACAAGGGCCAGCGAGGTTGTGCCCTCTACAGCTAAAATGGTGAACAACAGCTTGACCTGGAGCTGGGCTGCCCGTGAGTCGCTGACGATGGCATAGGCTGTAGTGGGGCTGGTCGGCAGCGGGCATGCGCTTTCGTGAGCTGCAGTGAGTGGCTGTCCAATGGCCAGCGAGCAACTGCCTCACTGGGAAAGAGTGCAATGATAATACCAACATGGGCCAGTGAAGCGATGTCCTCCACAACTAGACTGAAGAACAAAAGGACAGCAACTTGTCTGTTCCCCTCCCCCAATTCCCCAATAAAATCTTTAAAAAGAAAAAAAGATTTTTGTCAATACATAGTAAGTAAAAATTACATTGCTAATGAAAAATTGGTATTAATAATTAAGAGAACACTAACAGCTACCCATGTTTAAACTGTTCATCTATTGACAGCACAAAAATATAGATTGACAATTCAAAATTAAAAAGGGAATTAACTTTTTTTTTTTTTTTAAGCTGAGCCATCCTACCACCTGTTGGCAGCTCAGCGGCATCTCAGCTCGGGCCGGGAATCAAACCACTGTTGCTCAGAGCTCGCACTCTTGAGTGAGCTCTTAACCAACTGTGGGAATGAACTATTGATACACACAACACAGATAAATCTCAAAGGCATAATGCTGGGTGAAAAAAGCAATTCAAAAGGAAACATACTATAAGATTCCATTTATGACCTTCCAGAAAAGGCAAAATTATAGTGATAGAGAACTGTTGCCAGGGTTTAAATTTAGGAGGAACTGACTACAAAGGGGCAGCATAGGGAGTTTTGGGGGGGTGATGGAATGTTCTGTATCCTGATTGCAATGGTGGTTTCACATATCTATACATGTATTAAAATTTGTAATACTGTACATCAACAACAAATCATTTAGCAGCAGCATCACTGTTCATGAAAAGAAACAAACAGTGAGAAGCAGCTAGATATGGGAAGTGTTCATCCATCTGAAGATCTGAGATGTCTGCTACAAGTGTTTTGAGCACACATTTCTATTACATAGAAATTACAAAATCGACAACTGTCAATTTAATTTTATATGTTAACTAAAAAATGAAATAAATTTTTTAAAAAGTAGAAATGTCTTTGGTAAAGTTGGGATTTCTAAGTAATTATTTAGAGCTTCAAGCCAATGGTATTCAAGCCAATTTTACTGGCCACAAAATTACTAAATGTAACTGCATTAAATAAATTCAAGAAATTTAGGCCCAATTAATCACTTATAAAATATGTATACAAACAAACCATGGAAATAACATTTTAAGGAATATTAGGGAATTCTGCTACTCCCAAGTAAAGTTGAATTGTGTTCCTTTATAGTTTAAAACAGTAGGTACACCTTTGTGTTTAGTTTATAATCCAATAGTTGGTTGAAAAAAAAATTTCACTAGTCCTTAAAATGACTAATAATGAATAATAGTGAAATGACTAATAATGAAAAATAGAGAAAACTTTATTTTCTCTTCCCATTACACTTATATCAATTATCTAGAGACTCAAAAATCACAATCTGAAAATACTGCTGGATCCTGTCACTAGAAGCAAGACTATTTAAGAGAAGAACGGTATTTCTCTAGGTATACTACTGGGACTCATATATAATGTATGAAATCAGATAGCATCCCATCAGCTTTATCATGTCTCCCACACTTTGGAACTCAATAGTTCAGAAAGAATAATGTGTAGGCCAACCAAAAATAAGACCCAAAGATGGTGGGCAAACGCAATATTACAAATGCTGCATTTCCATAGAAAGACTTGCCTAACAGAATGACATAAAGCTTACATAGACAGCAAGGTGTGATTCTAATTATAATAGATTTTGCCTTTTGAGATCATGCCTGGGTAGTTTTTCACCACTGCTCTGGCCATGGACAGAGGTTAAGTGCTTTTTGAGGGCAGATTTGTGCTTAAAATCCATGTCACAACAGTGGCATTTGTACGGCCGATCCCCACTGTGTATGTTCAAGTGGTCCTGTAGTGTGCTTTTAGCAGTAAATGTCTTCAAGCATACAGTACACTGAAAGGGCCTTATGCCCATGTGCCCTCGAATGTGCCGGTTGAGATTTTTCTTCTGTGTAAATGTTTTCCCACACTGTAAGCACAAGAACAATTTATGCATCTTAAGGTGGCGCAGATAGTTGTCGACATGAAGAAATCCTCGCGGACACCTAGGGCACTGGTGCCTCAGTGAATAAGCATCCTCCACATTCTGAATCTCACTCGCTGTACCATGACTTCCTTCAGTAGCGCCAGAGAACAAGCCCTGATCTTGATTTCCAGGAACTTCTGCCACTCTGCTCTCAACCGTGGAATTGATCAGTGAATGCTGTGTTTCTGAGAAATACATGTTTGCTTTTGAAGAGGTACAAGGCTGTGAAAACTGCCCATTTTCTACAGCAGCGGTGCTGATTGATTCCACATGGAGGATGCAAATTTCATTGTCTTTAAAACCTATATCTACTGAAGACAGCTCTGGTGACTTCATTTCCTTTCTCTCTGATGTCAAACTCTCTACTGTGGACTGTAAAGCATTGCTTTCCTCTTCTTTAACGTGGAATTCCACATTTACAGGACTATCTTCTGAAATTTCAATGATCTCACAGTCTTTATCTGAATTTTCTTCTTCATTCTTAACATCTGGATCAGAGGATTGACACAGGTCGGTATGTTGATTGTTGTTTTTCATCGAAAGATCAATTTCTAGATACTTGGACAAAGCTTCTGTGCACTTTTCCACAATGTGAACCATCTGAAGGTAACTAGCAGCAGTCAAATATTTCAAAAGCTCTTTCCTTTTAACTTCAAGTGCTCCAGTGTAGCAAGAGAGCAACAATTTTCTCCCAACTTCTGCACTCTGCAAGATGGTGATTCTGATATGTTTTGACTGTGTAAGTAAAAACTGATCTCTCATGAAAGTGGAGCAAGCAGCTAAAATCACCTTGTGCCCCTGGAACTCAGTGTCATTAATATAAATTGATACATCACAAAATAAATTCTGTTGTCTCAGGAGATTCATTTTCTGCAAGACTACGTCTCCTTGCTGTTCAAACCGAAAGTGCAGAACATCAGACTCGGCAGCCATGGTCACAATCTACAGAAAATAAAACACAAACGTTACTGTTAGGATGGGGAATGCTTTCCTACACTGTGATAGTAAAAACAAACAAACAAATCCCAAACCTGAATTGGGTAAAACCAAGACTCAAATTCTAATCTGGGTGCTAAGTGTCAATCCATGTCACCATGTCAAAACCCAGAAAATTAAAATGTGTTTCTCTATGATCTTGCGGTATATTTCATATTTTTGTTACAGCTTATTACACTGAATTGCACTTACATTTCTATGTTTTTCTCCTGGGCTAAATGAATGTGCCTTGTGGTCAAGGACACTGTTGATGCCCACTACTAAATGGATTTAACAGTTTCCCAAATTAGAAACCTTAATGTAATCTCCAAACATCCTACTCCCCATCACAATCTCTGGTCCTCTCTCTCTTCACCTCGACCGTTACAATGTCTTCCAACAGGTCTCCTTGATACCGCAACTCTCCTACATTTCAAACTACCCTCCTGAGTTCTACAGAATGAACACCTTTTAAAACTTTGCTTTTCCCCCATCCTCTTCAGCTTTAAATCCTCCATTGTTCTCCCACAGCCAGACGGCCTAAATTTCTTAACCAATTCGAGATCCTTCATGATTTGGCCCTAAGCACCTTTACGGCTCCTTCGATATCCAGGTTTTCACCATTGCCCAGAAAAGAGGACCCAAATGCACATGTTACGCTCGCACTTCCAGTTCATTTCTCCAGCTAGTGATTTGGCTCTTTTAAGGCCCAAATAAAGAACTCCTCCTCCTGTCTCCCCGATGAGACTCGGTTGTTTCCAGAGCACCACGAAATGGAGCCTGCTTGCTGCAGCGAGCACAGGGGACCCCCCCACACAGAGCAGGAGCTGAATCCGGATCCCTGGTGGCCTGGATCCGCCAGCTTGCCACAGGTTTTACCGAGCCGAAGTTGCCAGGACCAAGGCCCCGTCGGCCAGGCGTTTGCAGCACCAGCCTAGCAACTCCGGGGCTGCGCCCAGCGGCCCTCCTCCGCCTCGGGCTTCCCCACTTGCCCGAGTCTCCCTCGCGCTCACTCACCCACTCAGAACACCAGAGCCGAGGTTTCCGCGGCAGCGACAGCCCAGGCCGGAAGGCGGACTTAGCCTGGGAGGAAACACATCCGGTGTCAACTGGCTCTAGTCCTCAGCGGGGCGGGCTGCGCGTCCCGGAAGGACATCCTGAGACGCTCTGCCTGTCTGTCCCCTCCGTCCTGGAATGATAAAAAGGCGCCCGAATTCCGGCAAATCCCATCTCTCCAGTCTTAGTTTCGGCACGCGAGCCATTCCGCCTCGTGAGTTCTCCCCAACCTGCCAAATCGCAGACGGGTTGTGAAGTTGGGGTACAGCGCTTCTATCAGAGTACCCTGCGCCGGGACCACCGGGAGGCCCTCACGGATTGTGGGCCGGGTCTTCTCCTTACTGGGCCAGCTACAGTTTAAAAGGTGGCAAAAGAGACTGCCGAATGGATCACCTAATGCCCCATCAGGATCTGGCCCCCACCTCTGGGTCTCTCTTCACCACTCAGTCCATCGCTTTCTTCTCACCCCGCCCGCCCTCCTCCCCTCCCACCCCGCGTTGTTTCCCTTTCCGGGCAAACCCAGGCCTTCCATCTAAACTGTTGGCCTGTTTTCCTCCCATATGCCAAATCCCTCCTACCATTTATCCTTCAAAATCGCATTATCCCTGACGCCATCCTGAACTGGCCCCTGAATTAGCTGGCTCCCAATTGGGAGCCTGTCAACGCTTTGGCTGCCTTCATTACTGCAATTATCATTCCTGTATTGAAATCTGTGTCTCATCGAGGCATACGTATTTAGGGCAGTGCCTCACTGATCTTTGCTTTCCTGAAGTCTAGCGCTTAGTAGGGTTTAAGTATTTGCCAAATGAAGGAGTATCTGAACCAGTTTTTAAAAGCACTTGTTCTACCCTCAAAGTCAACAAGTTCTCATGGAGTAACTGACCCTAGTAACAATTTCTGGTTAACCCAGATTTGCTTCTGAAGCCGAGCTCAGTATGTTTGATTAATATGTGTTTTAAATAGGAATGAAGAAAGCATTCCTGTATTCAAATTCAAGCAACTGAAAAGGAAAGGAGGGGAGAGAAAACAAACCACTCATACCAGAGTTTTAATGGTCACACTTTTATTAAGGAAACGTCCCCATAATAAGTGAAGAGGTAGTTCATAGTATGTCTAACATACAACAGATTTAGAACAGCTATTCACCAGCTGAAATAAAATGTTCTGGGCTGTTTATTTAGGACAATATTTTAGAAGTAATGACACTGGTCACCTTCCATTTATAGATCTAATAAACTAAGACAAATTAAAACCACATCTGATTTACCTCAGAGCCACTTCAGTTTGGAGTTTGTCTTTAAAATTAAATAATAAATAAATAACTGTGACACAGTAATTTTTTAAAACAAACTACGGTAAAGAGAGTGTTCTCTCTTTAGATATCCTGGGAATCCATACAATACCAATGCTGAATAACTAAGGTTTTTAAAAATCTTCCTCTATAAGAATATGACTAGTTTGGAAAGTCATCTCCCCCTATAAAACGTATTTTATACCAATAACTTGACCATTTTGCAAAACAATCTATGAAACATGTATAAACAAAGGAGAAAAGTCAAGTCCCACCAAAATTAAGAAAATGTCTCACAGAAACAGGACACCTCTCCAGCCAAGACATGGAGGAGACTGTAAATCACTTCAGTGGTTTGCAGTTACAAAAAGTGAGAACTATAACTTTTACTGATAACAAAATCATGAAGATGCTGATTTTAGGTGATCAAAGAAAGCAAGGCAGTTTCCTTTATTATTCCTTGTATAAAATCAAATGGACACTTTATCTCCCTAAGACCACATGAGACTAAGCTCTGTGAGGGCAGGGACCATAGCAATCTTACCTTCGTATCCTCAGTATGTAGCATAGTGCCTGGCAACAGTTGATGCTCAATAAATGTTTCTTGAATGACTGAATGAACCCAGTAATAGTCTCCAACCAAAGAGACCAATCTTATTTGAATCTATGCCTTTTAGTCTTCAAACCAGTAACAAAAACAGGACATGAATGCAAGCAAAGGAAGCACTCCAAATTGAAATTTCTGTGATGAAATGATGTTGAGAGAAAATGTTGGTTATCATGTTAGTGTATCACTATTGCATAGAATTGGTACTCTTTGGCTGGATCATATAAAAATCAGAGTGCTAGGCAGCATCATTATATCATATAAGAGTGACTTTAGGCACAAGGTACCTAGTAGTCTAATCACTCAATTTTATTCTTCATTTTAAATCTTTTAATAAAAGTAGAAATGATACCTCAAATCAGATTCACATGTAAATGCATCAAGTTATAACAATAAGAATTTCCTCTGACTACTCAAGTTAATCTTAATTTTTGGTTTATCTGTACATGCACTCTCGGCTCAAAAATAAAACAGAAAATCCAGGTGAAAACTAAATAAAGACTGTTTCCAGACAAAATCTGTTTCACATTTGGATCCTTCTCACGTTTATTCTTACTTTCCTTTCCCTCCCTAACCAACACCCAGCAAATCAGTCACTTTCTTGGGAAGAATGTTCATTCTAACCAAAAAAGAATTAACAAAAATAAATCATTCTGTGATATTTTGTTTGCAAAATCCAGGCTGTTTCGGAAAATCAACAGGGATTCACAAAGTGAGCTTTTTGCTAATATATTCTTGATCATGTACTAAATCTTTTTAAGCCAAGAGATAGTGAGGTAACATTAGCTCATATTTAGTTACTTATCTACTTTGGCCAACCTTGGCCAGGCCACCTCTTTGGGCTTTGGCTACCCCAAATTAAAAAAGAAGAGGTGGAGTAAATGATCTCAACATTCTCTAAGGACTCTAACGCCTATTACCTAAATCTACCTCATGAGTCAGAAACTAAGACTCAAATTGTTTCTGAACTATAACATGTGCTTTAGCAAAAACAGTTGTCTTGTTTTTCCATATTGGAAGATCAACTTTGTATTAGCCATCTACCAAACAAGGCAAGGTGGGACTGTGTACCTTTACAGGAATATCTGAATGCAAAAATCTGATTACTCCTCCGTGACCCACTTTTTTCATCTATTTTGGAAATTGAGGTACATAGGAAAATGAGAATTCAGAGACAATTTGTATACTGCACAAAACTCTGAATGCCAAACACCTTTCTGATGATGGCCAGCCTCTAAAACAGAGGCCCAGAGAGTGACTCCCAAATAGCCCCCTTTTAGAGAGACTATTATAAGTACACCTGGAGCCATCCTGACTTCAAAAGCATCAACAAATAAATTACACATTAATTATAAGCATTTGGCTTCTTTTGGGGAAGATCTCCCATGTAGGTACTATTGTACAACTGTACTTCTATCCTTTGTTGATTATGTTCGTGGTGATTCCTAACAATGTCTGCAGGTGTTGCTGAAAAGACTGTACTCTGGTCTATGGGAACAATTCATCGACATGAAGTTGAGCTATAATACTGTTGAAAAGAATACAGAACAAATGCTTCTTTATAGCCAGCTCCAAGAAAAGTACAAAGGGACGGAAGCAGATTCATTCATTCATCATACATAGATGAATTATCAATAGGCAACCAGAAGTTCTATCACATATTCAGGCCAACAGCAATATCACCTTGTATCTCAGCCCATCTTCTGCCAAAGAAAAATGTTATTCACTTCTCTTAGCATAATAGCATCCATTAGTGGAGTGTAGGTGATGTCATTAACTTGTTGGTACCTTCACTGAGCTTAAAATGGTGTCAGTCTAAAACATAAGTCAATGTTAGGTAGACAAATGGAATACTCCTTGGGAAAGGCAAACAGATGTCACAAGATAAATAATTCAAAAACAGAAAATGGGAGGGGGCAAAAGGAAGGCAAGACCACTCCAAGTGGTAAGTTGCCTGGTCTGTTAGTGCTTTGATTCACCCCTACAACCTGCACAGAGGCTTTGGAGAAGTCAAACTAGCAAAATCACTCCTAAAAAGACTCAAGACTATTGCCACGTTTTCAGTCAGTTCTAGTTGTGAGCATAAAGCCCCTACTCAATTCACACAAGTACTATCATTCCTTAGGTTCAGGACAGCTTGGGCCAGTTTACCTGCATCCAAGACCTGTGTTGCATCAGGCTGTGGCTGACACCCTTTAGAGTCTGTGACTGTTGTACATGCAAAAGAATCAAAATCCACTGTGAGGTCTTGCACATTTCTTTCATTGGCATTATCAAAGCTGTTTTTGCCATGCAGCTGTTTAAGGTGTTTCCTCAAAACTGGTTTATGTGCAAAAACCATGTCACAATAGTTACACTTATGGGGCTTATCTCCACTGTGAAGGTTAAGATGATCCTGTAAGGAACACTTCTGAGAAAAGGTTTTCCCACAGATCTTACACTGGAAAGGTTTAATGCCGGCATGCACACGCATGTGTCGATGAAGGTTGCCTTTCTGAGTGAAAGTCTTGCCGCAGAGTAGACACATAAAGAGTTTGTGCATTTTTAAATGGTTGGCGTAGTTCTCCAGGTGACGAAACACCCTGGTACACTTTGGGCACTGGTGATGCCACTGTAGGCCTTTGTCTACACCTCGAATATTAGGCCCAAAGACATCTTTGGAGGCCATGATGATGTTATCACTGCCTGTGTAAGAGAGGGCATAATTGTGGAGGTGGTTTTGTTCTATTTCACTTACTCTGTTTTCCACAGTTGAATTTATCAGGGAGTGCTGGGGCTCTGATGAATGTAAAGCAGTGGGTTCAGAAGAAATAAACTGGTTCTGATCTTTTTTACTTCTAACCTCGGATACATCCCCAATAGATTCTACCTTAACAATCTGAATATCACTGTCCTCCATATCCATACTGTCTTCAGATGGATGAATACAAGGTGAGTCCTGCTTTGGGGAGCCTCTGGCATCTCCCTGCTGTTCTTTTGACTGGGGAGAAGCACTCTGTGGTTCACATCCCTCTTTACTATCCATTGGTTGTTTTGGCTTTATAAACTTCCACAAGGCCTGTGTGCACCGTTCTACAATGTGGCTCATCTGTAGAAAACTCGCAGCAGTCAAGTAATTTACCAGTTCCATCTCAGGGAATTCCAGCACACCACTATAACAGGATAAGAGCAATTGTCTCCCCACTTCGGAACTCTGTAATATGGAGATTTTCACCTCTCTGGAATCATTCAGTAAAAACTGGTCTCTTAAGAAGGGGGAACCTGCAGCAAACACAATTTTATGCCCCTGTACCTCAATATCATCTATGAGAACTGTAACATCACAAAATTTATTCTCTTCTCTTAATTTGTTCATTTTTTGTAACATTGAATCTCCATAATTTTCAAACTTGAAGTGAAGGAGATCTGATCTTTCAGACATTTTCGCAGACCTAAAGAACACAAATGTAAAAAGGATGAATTTAAGAAAATTCAAACAATTAAGAAACCTGGATTTTCCTTCCAAAACCAAATCTGTGTTGTCATATCTCTGTGTGAGTATCCAAATGAAATTTTCCTTGAAAGAGGAAGCAGCTTTCAAAGGCTGTTAAAAATTACTCCTTGCCAACATCAAGTGTCAATTGTACCTAAGGAGTGGACTTGTATCAGTGTAAATGGCTTGGCATTCATTCAGTTTTCTAAGATACTTAATACAAGAACAGTGCTTGAGTTACTCCAAGAGCATTTTTTTTTTGCTTCTCAAATGAGAATTCTATATCAGGTTTCAAAAACAAACTAAAACATCCCAACAAGTAATTATGAAGTAGCTATGTTCTTTTGCACGACACTACAAGCCTGCTTCTTCGAAGACAAAACACTCTTTTTCTTTGCTTTGTATTTTAAAGAACTGCAGTGATGTGAATTTATTCATGCAAGTATTTCTGTGATAAAAATAAAAGTTACAGACCTAAAGCGATAATGTTTGGACAGTGTCAAAGGCACAGGTCTTTATACTGTGCATTTTGGACAAATCTGAACTCCCCAGAAACATTTCTTGATATAGAAAGTAAATAAAATATTTGATGTATAAAAACCAGATGAGCCACTTGGTGGGAATCTGAGTAGGGAGAAGGTGAATCTAATTAATCCTTACTAGATTCTGTTCTTTCTTCTTTATCCCTATTTATCCATCATTACTCATTCACTGGACTAGAACTGATTCATAAATGTTCCTTGGCTACCGGCTTCTTTTCCCTCTAATCCAACTTCTACACCACCATATTTCATCTTTCGAAATCACAGACCTGATTATATCCAACCCCTGCCTAAAATCCTTCTGTGACTTCCCACCGTCTCCTGGATGAAGACTAACCTCTTGAGTATAAACTTATTTAAGTAAATAATAATTAAGGTAAACATTGGCATAACCCATTTAACCACAGAGAAGATGTCTTTTCCAAAACTCTGCATATTTGTCCCTTTACATAGCAGTTCTTTTGGAGAAAGTCCCTATGTTCTGATTCCATACTCTTCAAATGATCTTCTGATAACTTGGCTTCCTGTGTGTCTCTCTAAAGGGAAAGATAAATTAGCCATTCCACCATAATTCCAGCCTACCAGCCATTGTAAAAATAATAAACTGGCCCTCTCTATCTATATACCAGTCTTATGTGAGGTCTGTAGGTATATCAGGTCTACCCTTGAGAAATAGTTCTACAATCTCAGTGCATCAATAAATTCAGCTTGAATTTTGGGCAGTCATCAACTTTGTAGTTGATAATCATGACAACCAGCTGCTTTTGGCCACATCTGGACCCTGAGGCCCAATCTTTATAATTTCATCTTCGATAACATTGACTTATAAAGGTCCATAGGACACCAGCTCCTGAAGGCAGAGTCCAGGTCTTACTTATATTGCTCAGTACCTGGTGCATGATAGCACTCTATTGATTCTAAGCCTTAGCTCAGGTACTTCTTTGGTTAAGAACACTACTCCTAGCCAATTCTGATTCCTTTATTTCCTCTGACAGGCCCTGACCCTTAGACTAGAACAGTTGTATCTACTAGACCCATAGCATAATACTTCTATCATAACACTCAAAATACTTTATTAAATAACTCTTTCCTCCCCCTCCAAACTGCAATCTTCGTGGCCTTAAGAGGAAAACATCTCCATTCTCTTCAACGGGCTGTTGGGAACCTGCATCTTCTAATGCAAAACATGTTTTCCTTTTGCTTCAAATTCTACTTACTGCAGCCGCATAACTGTCCAAACCCTCTTATGTTCAAATTGGTGTGTATTTCTGCCACCTAATACTGTACTAAACCTATGGCAGTGCTCAGTTTGCATTTGTTGAACTTATAGGATTTGCTTGACAGTGGTGAGAAGGAAGAATTGCTGGTAGGAAGACCAACTCAGTGTCTGCAGGAACACGACAGGTCTGAGGCCATGAGAGCCTAGGAAGGAATGAAAATGGGAATAAGGAACAAGGAAAAACAACAAAAGATATTTTAAAGAACTTGGTAATTTACTGGATAGAGAATGAGAAAAAGGAATGTGTAAAAGGTACTAAACTTAGGAGTTCAGCTGAATGAAGCTGTCATCGAAAGCAAGGGGGAAATTCAGAAGGGAGAACTGGTATGGAACAGGTATAGTAACAAAAATATACACAGCTAAATTAATAAGCTCTTCCCTTGTATGGCAATCTGAATGTACAGATAATGAACCATCACTATAAAGATAAGAGAGGAGGGATGTAGAGACGCCAAGGATGTGTCAGAGAAAAGATGATGACGACCCAATAAAAAGGAAAAATCTAGGTGATACAGGGAATGTATCAGTAAAGAAAGCAGCAAAACTGCATTATCACTGGTCAGTTTTGGCAATAACAGTAGTTGAATATATTCATTCATTCTGGAAAAAGTGCATGTCCCAATTTATAACGAGAATTATAAAAATGACTATTGTTTCAAGTGGCCAAACAAAAGGGGTATTCTATTTTACAGCCTGTCCTAAATCTTCCCTCAGGTCAGTATTGTCCTGCTCATACCCAAAGGTGAGCATTAATGGCTTCTATCTACAGCGTGACAGTACTCACACTGCTCAGGGATAACTGTTTCTTGAAGCTCCAAAGATGAGGAGCTGGAGTACAGTTTCATTTACTTCCTATCCATCCATCAATCTCAAGAAACTTACCAACGTGAGGAGCCAAACAGGCATCCCAGGAAAGTGCTTGCAGTGACTGGTCTGCCGTAGTCCAAGAATGTGAGGGAAATTTATTCTGTTTAAGAAGTTTTCCGTAATATGTGTCTGCTCTCTCTATTGTCTCCCTTTGATAAATTCTTATTTCCAGGCCACAAGTTTATCCATTAATTGTTTCCTGTCACTAGTTTCTCTTTCCAGTAGACTTGAAATATTTGAGGGCAAGGACAAATGTTACTTTTGACACCGCTCATTCAACAAGAATCAGCAGTGTGGTTAACTTTAATGTTCCCTAAGAAATTATTACTGAGCTGTGATAGAAATGCTCTTCATCATCATATCGTCTTTTGAGTGCCCTGGGGAAAATTTCTTTCTAAGTTTTTTCTTCTCCAAAATAGTTTTGAAAATATAAAACCAAAGTTTAAACAAACTTTATTTTTCTTTTACATTACAAAAAAAAAGACAAAATAAAGAGAAATAATTGTGTTTCTTATGAACTGGCCTAGTTTTATTTAAAAAGTAGAGAAATGAGAGCTAATCTTTACTGAAGCCTTGCTATGTAGCAGGGAATGCTAAGTGCTTTACCTAAACTGGCCCACTTAATCCTTAAAATCCCTTTGAGGGAGGTATTATCATCACCCCCAATACACTTATGAGGAAACTCAAGCTTGGAGAACAGAAACGGCTCGCTCAACTTAAGACAGGTAGGAAGTGTTAAGTGTTATAGCTCAAACTTGTGCCCAAGCTTCTTGGTGCCAAAACCCATGTACCAAACAACTAGGCTAGCTGAAGTTTTACCTTATGGATAATATTAACTGTGGAACTGTTCAGATTTCCTTCCTCATATCCATTCACCTGTACACTTGAGATTGATATGCTTTTGTGTATTTAGTTCAGTAAAAGGTTTATGTTTAAAAACAAAAAGTACAACTTAGCCAAACCTGTGTGAGGTCTAGAGGCGTTTAATACTCAGCCATTTATGTGTTAGTCATATTCCTGATCCCATTTTATTTCCTTATCCTTGTTTTACCTTCCTTTCTCACCTATTTTAACTTTGTTATTTTTCCATCTTTTGTGTATTTAGCTTTGTAGACTGAAACTTAATGCCATTTGCAATTAAAATGGAGAATTAAAATGAATATATTTGATTTTCAGAATCCCCAACTATAGTTAACTTCTAAGTAGAGTAGTAATTATTCATGATGTTCATAAAAATCCCTCATATAATTCTAGACCATAACAGAGCTTCCAGTAATAAAGAGAGAAAAGAACTGATCAGGTAGAAGAGAGTTGGTCACCACACTCTGTTGGTTCTTTTCTCAGAATGATTTTCAAATTCTCTCTTTAGCCCTACTATCACTGCCATAGTTCTGGACCTTATAATCTATTCCCTAGGTTACTGATTAAATCTGAATACTGCTGAATTTCTATTAGCAAGTTTTGAATAACCCATTTCTCAAACATTAATGTAATAGGAATATTCTCACTTAAGAGCACTTCCTCTTTGTTTATATTGACACAATTCTTCCACAATTATTTCCATAACAAACATGTCAACTGGTTCGCAAATTTCCCTTTGTTCAAACAAAAGTCACCAAAAAGGATAAGTGAATGTTCTAGGTTGGACAATGTTTGCTGTTGTGCTATGGTCAGTGAGAAAATACCCAAGTTTCTTACCTCAAATGCCTCTAATAACTGATAAGGAAAACTTTTCTATTCTGTACAATAAACTCCCAAGTTATATGTCAGCCTCTTTCCTCATCTACCGCATAAAAGTGCCTTTAGTTTTCAAAATAGCACCCACAACTACTTTTCATTAACACCATATGCCATTTTCAAAGAGGTTGTAATATATAATATAGCCTTTCTCTCTATAAACCACAATCCTTTTCTTCTTTTGGGTAACTTTCGCAGCACTACGTTCTCCAAGTTTTCACTCTTTTGTTTTTGATTACATATATATATTACATATATATATATATATATATATATATTATATATATATATATATATATATATATANATATATATATATATATATATATATTATATATATATATATATATATATATATATAGTACTATAAGTGCTATACATACAGAAATATATCCTTCCTGGAAATTTTTTGAACATTAAAGTGCGAGTCCCCTTTCCCAGCTACTTTTCGCTCAGTACAGTTTGCTTTAAGTTTGGTCCTTCATGACTCTTCCTCCCACCATTTTAAAAACAGCATTTCTAAATGACTAGCCACAGAAAACATAAAATAATGTTTCTTATACATAAACTATATATACTGTTTTGCAATTTTTTCATTTATTGTTTTTGAGAGCTATCTGTGTTGAATATATATAGATCTAGTTCATTCTTTTAAAACTATTGTCCAGATGTGGGCAAATTACTTAACTACTGGCCTCAATTTTCCACAATTCTTTTGCTGATCTTTTCCTCAAAGAGTGACTAAATTGTGTAATGGTGAGTATATCCTTCACAGCTTAGTTCTTGATTTTTTTCCTAAATTTTTTCAAGCCTTACTTCCTCAGAAAACCTGTCTGGTTTCTCAACGTTTCATTACCTTCTCTAATTTAAAAATTGCTAAATCACCATCCTCATGGTCAACTTTAACCAAACTTAACCTCAATTCAAACCACACCAAATTACCTAACCTAGGCTATTATTCTATCACTTGAAATGCATGGTATCTAAACTCGTGCACTATCTAAAACTCAATACGTCAAAAATAAAAATTTATGGAGAATGGGCTTACAACAGTGGATGTGGAGGCATGGAAACCTGTTACTATGCCATTGCTCTAATAGATCAAGATAGAAATGATGAGGGCCTGGGCCGGCCGAGTGGCTCAGTTGGTTAAGAACTTGCTCAAGAGTGTGAGCTCTGAGCAACAGCGGTTCGATTCCTGGCCCGAGCTGACCTGCTGCTGAGCTGCCAACAGGTGGCAGGATGGCTCAGCTAAAACAAACAAACAAACAAACAAAAAACAGAAAAAAGAAATGATGAGGGCCTTAATAGAGACAACAATATTATGGATGGAGAAAAGAAACAGATTTGAAAGCTATTTCAAAGAACAGATGGACTTGATGACTAAGGTGAGGAACAAGAAAGGAAAAAAGACAGCTCCAAGATATTTGGTTTGAGTGACTGGATGTCTTTGAGAGTGTCATTCAGTAAGCTAGGGAATATTAGAGGGGATGATCATGGATCTCGTCTTAAAATGTTTAGTCAGAGGAGTTGGCATGACATTGAGGGGACGATCCATTCGCTAGCTGGAGATGGGTCTGAAGTTGAAGAGGGGACCTGATTACAGATAGTGATAGATGAAAGCAGACATAAATTGACCTAATTGTGAAAGAAACTGATCTTAAATGGCACAGATTGGAAGAGGACCTAAGACAGAGGGATATAAATAAGAAAACAAATATATTACAAACATAAATCCATTACTTACCGTCTTCTTAATCTGGATCTCCTTCCAAGCCTCTCCCTTTTTTATCAATGAGCCTACCTTTGCTTAAATGTTTTCCACTCCTTTGACTCCGATAGTCACTGCTTAGTGCAGTGGTGTAAAACCATGGCTTCTGGAGCCATATTTTCTAGGATGAAAACCCTGCTCGACCATTTACTAGCTGTGTTGACCTTGAGAAAGTTACTTAACCACTCTGTGCTTCAGTTTTCCCATCTTGTCAAATAGTAATATTACTTCACAGAGTTGTTATGGGAAATTAAATTAATTTTAAAGTAAATTACATTTAAAAATTATGTTCATTTTATAAGAGCTTAGAACACTGACTGGAATGCACTCTACAAGCATTTGTTAGGTAAATAAACAAATAAAACCTTTCAGTTTTCTCCGTGAAGTCCTTCATATGTGGCCTTTTCTCATTCTCATTTAAAAACCAGTTGAGGTCTCTGTTCTTTCATATATCATCACCTCATCACTCTACTAAAATTGCATTTTAAAAGTCACTAACGAGCTCTTAGTCAGGAAATGCAATAATTTTTTCCCATTCCCCAAATACTCTCTGCATGAATTGTACCAGTGGAAACTTCTCAAAATTCTTTTCTTGATTTCGGTTCTTCTTGGTTGATGGAACTCTGCACTTTTATACTTTATTCCCGACTTCTGTTTTTGCTGCTACCCCAATTACTACTAGCTTCGATTCCTCTTTCTGTTTCACAAATGCAACCATCTCCCCAAATTATTCCCCTCTTTCTCAGTAATCCCTTCCTGATGACAACCATTCCCAAGGTTTCCACCTCTATGCTGATGACTCAAACCTTTACCTCTAGTCAGACATTTAAGTTGAGCTATAGATTTGCACTTCCAATTCTATACTGGACAGTTCCATTAGACCTTTAATTCAACATATTTAAAAATAAATTTGTAACCTACACTAAGCATATGGTTTTGTTTTTGTTTTTGTTTTTGTTTTTAAGCTGAGCCATCCTGCCACCTGTTGGCAGCTCAGCAGCTGCTCAGCTCGGGCCGGGCATTGAACTGCTGTTGCTCAGAGCTCAAACTCTTGAGCGAGCTCTTAACCAACTGAGCCACTCGGCCGGCCCTAGCATATGGTTTTATTGCTGATAGCGGCGTCAATGTTCTGCCAACATCAAGGCCTAAAACCTAGGAATCAGCTTTAGTACCTCTTTGACCCTCAACACCCAATTTATTAGTCCTGACACTATTCAACGACAGCAAACTTACCTTCTTTCCAATAATACTATCATAACTCCATTTGAGGACTTCATTACCTCTCACAAGGCTGATCTCATTTTTTCAAACCAATCTCCAATAAGGGTACCTAGCCTTTAGCTAAAAGCCCAGAATCAGTTTATAGAAATTCCCATTCTATAGGCTGACCTCCAGAACCACATGGCTTTTTACAGTGCAAATCTGACCATAACAGTCTACTGCTCAAAACTCTTCAAAAACTATCCACCTCCTTCAGGGCTGAACCTTTCACTCCGGACCTCGGTCTACTCTCCGCAGCCTCATACCTTATATGCACAAAAGCCCCCCCCCCCCCAATTTCCTCCTCACACAAGTTGTGCTCAGTCATTCCTCAACATAACTGCAACTGTTCCTTCTGCCTGAAAAGCTCTTCTCCACCTTATCCTATCCAAGAAGTATAATTCAAACATCACTTTTATTCTTCAGTCTTCCCAGCAACGGCCCTTTGGGCAACTCATAAGTATATTACTGATACACGTATCGTAGGAGCATTTATTTGTTTATATCTGGCTCCCAAACTTGACCCTGAAAATTGGAACTATATCTTACGAATGCCCCAGTGCTTGGCACAGCGCCAGTAATATAAAGTGCTGCAGCCAGTGGCCGATTTGCGGGAAACCGCGGCAAAAGGGTAACCTCATAAAGATTCTCGCGGGCTGACACTGAGGCCTTGCCAAGGCCTTAGCTCTGGCACGTCCTACAATCTGCCAGGGCCGGGCGTCCACGCCAATTGCGGGGCCTTCGGCTGGGGTCCCAGGAGAAAGTCCCTGGAGCATCCTTAAGCTCCCCACTCCAGACTAGGGAAGGGAAAGGGGCGGGGCGCGGCGTGGGCTGGGCCAAGGGTTCCTTAAAAGTCCCCCCCCCCGGGCCTAGGCCAGCCCCTCGGCCCCCATCCCAGTGCAGGTCCTGGCCAATCCAAGGCCCCAAGGGGGTTCCATCTTGAGAGACCCCGTACCCCTGCCCGGTGGTCCGGCCGCCTCCGCACTTACAGACCCAGGGGAAGGCCGCCGTCAGGATCCGGCACCGCCAGGAGCTCCGGCCCCTCGGGGCTCCGGAAAGGGGGAGGGGCAGGGAACCCGAGCCAAAGGGGGACCCAACGGAACCGGAAGGGCAGCCCTCGCCGGACAAAGACAACTTCCAGGTCCCATAGTCCTGTCCGCCAATCGGAAGGCTCGGAGGACGACGGGGCCGCGAGAGGGGCTTTCCGTGCTGTGGGCGGGGTGCAGACGGAGTGCCCGGGTCTCCCGCGGCAAGCGGCTGCTCCCGCGACCTGAGGTTTTGCGGCTCCTTAACGTCCGAGGCTGCAGTTTCTCAGCGGCTTTTGTGGGGCCGGCCCTCGACCGTCTGCTGCCTGCATGGGCTTGAAGGGCGCCTCCACACTTAAGCCTTGGTAAGTCCCTCCCGCCTAGGGATGTGGACTCGCCTCGTTGGGGCCCTGACAGCAAACGAAGGTTTACCCCTCCTGCTTTTGGATGTTGGTGTTCCCTGGGGATCTCTTGCATCTCGTGGCCTCGGTTACCTACAGAGTGCTAACCTTCCACAAATGTCTCTCGCCAGCCCAAACAGCTCTCATGAGCTCCAAGGCCGACTGCCTACAAGACATCTCCAATTGACTGTCCCAACGTAAATGTACATTTAAATATCTCAAATTCATCGGCAGACTTGCTGCTTCTTAACTCCAGTAGTCATTGTATGGGTGAACCGCATCGTCCACGCAGTCCTCTCGGCCAGAAAACTTTAATATCACTCTAGAATCCTTTTCCTTCTTGCCAATCCAGTTGCTCACTGGGTTCTCCCTTCTTGGGGATGGGGGAGGGGGGGTATTATGATAGAACACACATAGTTTTTATCATCATAATTATTTGTAAGTGTAAAGTGGGGTGGCATTAAGTATATTCAAAGTGTTGTGCAACTGGCACCACTGCTATATCTAACTTCATTCTTTTGCATGTGGATAGCTTTTTTCCAGCACTATTTGTTGAAAAGTCTGTCCTTTCCCCCATTAAATGGTCTTGGCACCTTTGTTGAAAATCAACTATGTGAGGATTTATATCTGGACTCTCTATTCTATTACATTGCACTATATATCTGCCCTTATGCTAGTACCATAATGTTTTAATTACTGTAGCTTTGTAGTAAATTTTGAAGTATGAGTCCTCCGACTTTATCATTCTTTCAAGATTGTTTTGACAATTGGGGGCCCCTTGAAATTCCACACGCATTTGAGGGTCAGCTTTTACATTTCTGAGAAAAAGGCTGTTGTAATTTTGATAGAGATGGTGTTGAATCTGTAGATCACTTTGGGTAGTATAGGTAGATAGCTTACTTTTAAGTCTTCCTGTTCGTGAACACAGAATGTCTTCCATGTACTTAGGTTTTTTTGTTAATTTTTTTCAGCAGTGTTTTCCACTTTTCAGGGTATTTGATTCTTTTTGATACCATTGTAAATGGAATTGCTTTCTTAATTTTCTTTGCATATTGTTTATTGCTAGTGTGTAGAAACAACTGATTTTTGTGTGTTGGTTTTGTACTTTGCAACATTGCCAGATTTATTAGCTCTAGTAGTAGCTTTCTTGAAGATTTTCTGTTTTCATGATTTGTCTGTGAATAGAGATAGTTTCACCTCTTTCTTCCTAATTTGGATGCCTTTTATTTGTTTTCTTTTTAAAATAGCTCTGGCTATAACTTCCAGTGCACTGTTGAATAGCAGCAGTGAAAGTAGGCATCCTTGACTTGTTCACGATCTTAGAGGGGAAGCTAAACTATTGGGTATTGTTAGCTGTGGGTTTTTCACAAATACCTTTATTATGTTGAGGAATTTTCCCTCTATAACAAGTTTTCTGAGAAATATTATCATAAAAAGGGATTGTATTCTGTCAAATACCTTTTCTGCATCAATTGAGATGATTATGTTTTTTCCCCTCCATTTTGTTAATGTGATGTATTACATTGATTGATTTTATGTTGAACCACCTTTGCATTCCTGGGATAAATCCCACTTGGTCATAGTGAATAATCCTTTCAATATTCTGTGGATTTGGTGTTGCTTATATGTTGTTGAGGATTTTTGCATCTATATTTATAAGATATATTGACCTGTAATTTTCTTTACTTGTGATGTGTTTATCTGACTTTGGTATTAGGGTAATGAAGGTTTCATAGGATGAGTTAGGAAGCATTCCCTCTTCTTCAATTTTTTGGAAGTTTGAGAAGGATTGGTGTTAATTTTTCATTAAATGTTTGATATAATCTATTGGTGAAGCCATCTGGTGCAGGACTTTGTTGGGAGGTTTTTGATTATTAACTCAAACTCTTTACTTGTTATAGATGTATTGAGATTTTCTATTTCTTGTTCAGTTAGTTTAGGTAATTCGCGTGTTTCAAGGAATTTGTCCATTACTTTCTAGGTTATTTAATTTGTTGGCATACCATGTTCATAGTATTCTTTTATAATCCTGTTTAACTCTGGAATGTCAAAAGTAATGTCCTACTTTCATTTCTTTTTTTTTTTAAGATTTTATTGGGGAATTGAGGGAGGGGAACAGACAAGTTGATGTCCTTTTGTTCTTCTGTCTAGTTGTGGAGGACGTTGCTTCACTGTCCCATGTTGGTATTATCATTGCGCTCTTCCCGGGTGAAGCATATTGGTCACCAGCCACTGGATGGCTGCTCACGGCGGCTCTTGGCAGCTCACGCTGGCTGCTGGCCGCTCACGCCGACTGCCAGCCACTCATGGCAGCTTATGGCAGCCCAGTGCAGCTTCACTGAAGCCTATGCCATCGTAGGCAACTCACAGCAGCTCAGCTCCAGGTTGAGCTGTTGTTCACCATCTTAGCTGTAGAGGGCGCAGCGTCACTGGCCCTAATGTGGGATTTGAACCGGAGCTCTGCTGCTCAGCGCTGGCGTCTCAAGCTAACTCTTACCCAACGCGCCATTTGGCCGGCCCCTCACTTTCGTTTCTGATTTTAGATATTTGCATGTTTTCTCATTTTTCTATGTCAGTCTAGTTAAAGGTTTGTTGATATTGTTGATCTTGCAAAGAAACAACTTTGGTTTCATTGATATTTCTGTTTTTCTATTCTCTATTTTTATCTCTACTCGAATCTGTTATTTCTTTTGCTAACTTTGGGTTTAGTTCTTTTTTTTCTAGTTTATTAAGGTATAAAGTTAGAGTGTTGTTTCAAGATCGTTCTTTTTTAATTTAGCCATTTACAATTATAAATTTCTCTCTGGTCACTGTGTTCCTTGCATCCTGTAATTTTTGTATGTTGTATTATCATTTTGATTTCTTCTGTGACCCATTTGTTGTTTAAGAGCATGTGTTTAATTTTCACACATTTGTGAATTGTTCAGTTTTCCTTTTGTTATTGATTTCTAAGTTTATCCCATTGTGGTTGGAGAACATACTTTGTATGATACTTATATTTTTAAATCCATTGAGACTTGTTTTGTGGCCTAACGTATAGCTTGTACTGGAGAATGTACCATGTGAACTGGAAAAGAATGTGTATCCTGTTGTTGTTGGGTAGAATTTTCTTTATATGTCTGTTAGGTCTAGTTGGCTTATTGTGATGTTCAAGTTCTCTATTTCCTTACTTCTATTGGGTTGTTCTCTTCATTATTGAAGAGGGTTATTGAAGTTTTGGCTATTATCATAGAACTCTTTAGTCCTCCCTTTAATTCTGTCCATTTTTAGTTCATATATATAGATATATAGATATATATCTATATATATGTTTGTTTTTTAAGATTTTATTGGGGAATTGGGGGAGGGGAACAGCGTTGGGGAATTGGGGAATGGGAACAGACAAGTTGCTGTCCTTTGGTTCGTCAGTCTAGTTGTGGAGGACGTCACTTCACTGGCCCACTTTGGTATTACGATCACTGCGCTCCTCCCTGGTGAGGCAGATCGGTTGCCGACGGCTCACGGCGGCTCCCGGCAGCTCCCGGCAGCCCACGCCCACCCACGTGGCCACCCATGGCCGCCCAGCTCCAGGTTGAGCCACGGTTCACCATCTTAGCTGTAGAGGGCACAGCGCCAGTGGCCCATGTGGGAACTGAACTGGCGGCCCTGCTGCTCAGAGCTGGTGTCCCAAGCCAAGTCTTAATCAACTGAGCAACTCTGCCAGCCCTACTTCATATATTTTGAGGGTCTGTTACTAGGTGTGTAAATGTTTATAATTTTTATATAATCTTGCTTTATTGAACTTTTTATTAATATGTAATGTTCTCCTTTGTCTCTTTTAAGTTTTTTGTGTTTTTTTTTTTCATTTAAAGGTTGTTTTGCGTGATCTTAGTATAACCACTCCAGCTCTCTTTTGGTTACTATTTACATGGAATATCTTTATTTCTTTGTTTGTTTTTGTTTTTTTTAAGACAGTTTGAGGAATATTGGAATATCTTTTTTTATCCTTTCACTTTAAATCTGCTAACATCTTTGAATCTAAAGTGTGTCTCTTCTAGACCGCATATAGTTGGATCATGTTTATTGTTTTTTTAATTGATTCTGCCCATCTGTCTTGATTGGAGAATTTTAGCCATTTACATTTAAAGTAATTACTGATAAGGACTTATTTCTGCCATTTTGCTACTTGTTTTCTTTAGGCCCTATAGCTTTTGTACTTTCATTTCCTCTATAACTTCTTTTTTCTGTTTATTTGAACTGAGACCAATTTCAATACCATATGAAAACTCCTCCTATACAACTCTGTCCCCTCTTCCTGTTATTGATCTTACAGATTACATCTTTAAACATTGTGTACCCAATTATATAGATTAATATTTTACGAATTTGTCTTTTAAATCATGGAGAAAATAAAAAGTAGACTTATAAACCATAATTACAGTAATACTTGCTTTTATAATCGTCCATCCATGTATTCGTCTTGATCGGAGATCTTTATTTCTTCATATGGCTTCTATTATAGTTACCGTCAAGTGTCTTTTCATGACAATCTGAAGGATTCCCCTTAGCATTTCTTGAAAGGCAGGGTGAGTGATAATGAACCCTCTTGGCGTTTTAAAAAAATTACATACTGTGTTAATTTCTCCCTCATTTTTGAAGGACAGTTTTGCTGGATATAGAATTATCTGTCAACAGTTTATTTTCTTTCAGCACTTTGAGTATTATCAACCCACTGCCTTTCGGCCTCCAAGATTTAAGATGAGAAATTGGCTGATAATTTTATGGAGGATTCCTTGTATGTGATTAATCACTTCTCTCTTGCTGCTTTCAAGATTCTTTCTTTGGCTTCCTACAGTTTGATAGTTATTCTTCCTCCCGTTTCTTCTTCTCCCTCTGGGACTCTCACACAGGTATGTTGTTTCTCTTGATAGTATCCTACAGATCCCTTAGGCTCTATTCATGTTTCTTCATTCTTTCTTTTCTTTTTTCTTTTTCTGTTCCTCAGATGGAATAGGAAGCACAAGGAATCCATCTAACTACCTAGACAACAATTGTACTGGCAGAAACTGAAGTTAACTATTTTGGAACTTTGGAGTCTATTTGAAACTTGCATCTTCCAGGGGAAAGATGGGTTGGTAAATCGAGATGCATTCCAGACAATGTCAGCCTTTAATGTGATTGCACCCATTTCCTACACTTCCAGTCTGTGGCAGACAGCCATGTTTATATTCAGGCGCACTTGCCGGAGCCAGGGTTGGAAATATTGGGTTGTTGGAAAAGTCATGACGCATTTTTGCAACGAAAAACAGAAAAAATGCCTCATGACTTTTCCAACAACCCAATAAGAACCTTGTTCTCCAAATACTGGGGTTCTGTGTGCTGATTGCTGATTGCCGCTTTTGAGTTCTGAGGTGCAGGCACAGAAGCTGGCTGCCATTGTTTCGACCCCCATCAGATTCCAGGGGACTTAAAGGAACATTACCTCTTTCGTTTGTTTGGCTGTTTTTTTCTCTTTTTTTCCATTTGGGAGCCAGACATTCAAGGATTAGGACATTGAAAACAACGGGTTATATGGGTGAAATTAGAAATCCAACATGTATAACCAGGGAATGATGCAGGCTCATGAGAGACCCAAGAAGACCTCAGGCATTCACCTCAGGCCGATCCTGATCCCTGGCACAGGGGCACCCTTCAACAACCAAAAGAAACAGCAGACCCAGGGCAAGGGGAAGTATCTGATTTCTAGAGATACCATATTACAAATTTTCAATGTTCATTTTCCAACAAGAATTGCAAGACATACAAAGAAACAGGAAAGCATGGCCCATTCAAAGAAACAGAATAAATCAACAGAAACCATTTTTGAGGAAACTCAGATGTCAGACTTACTAGACAAAGCCTTTAAAACAGTATCATTAAAGAGAAATTATAAAAAGGAACCAAAGTGAATTCTGTAGTTGAAAAGTACAATGACTGAAATGAAAAATTCACTAGAGGGATTAAAAAATCAGATTTGAGTAGGCAGAATAAAGAATCAATGAACTTAAGGATATTTCTTTTTAAAGTATCTTTCAAATTTTTTCCTTTCCTTCTGCCCTTCTTTGGGCCTTTCTGATCTTAGGCAGCCTCCAAACTGTTTTATGTATCCCTGTTTTACCTTCTGTACTCCTGCCATAATGATCTTTTGAAAATCAAATCTGCTATTGGCACTGTCCTTAAAAACCTCTAAGGACACCCATGCGTTTATAGATTGAACTTCATTTTCTTTATTTTAGCATTCAGGGACCTTCCCATTCTAGCTCCAGCTAACTACATCACTTTATCTCAGACAGTTCCGTATTCCGTTTATACATCCTAACCATATGTTCTAAGGTACAAAGCCACTTGCTGTAAAAAGTTGAGCATATTTGTAAACCAAAATTAGTTTCCTGTGATAGGCTAAGATATTAGGATATATGGCATTGGTAGGCATTGAAATAGATGATATAAGTCTATTTAAAAGAAGACTCCTGAATAAAAACTGTATGTCATCACTAACAGTGATCAATATTATATCACTATTGGTATTGTATCTAATGTAATAGAACACGAAGTATAACATACCACTTATGATGTGTGTTAGTCCATTGAGTCTTGCGATATAACTTCCAGCTTCTTGGAAATATAAGGTCTAGGAGAACAAACTCGGACCTCTTGAGGAAGCAAACATTCAGTTCCAGAGGTGGGAAAATTTGTGCTTAAAGTGGCCTCATTTCTTCTATAAACCAATGTCTTTTAATATATTTTTTTTAGTGCTAGATTAAAAATACTTAGGGACATAACAACTAGATACAATGTGTGGCCCTGGATTTGATACTAACTTGGGAAAACCAGCTATTAAAAATATATATTGCAGTCAACAGAAAATTTGATTATAGCTAGGTATTAAATGAGAGGAAATTGACAGAAATGTTACCGATTTGGTAAAGACAGCTGTAAAAATATTGTTAGGTTGATAGAAAATTTGAATATGAACTAGGAATTAGAAGAGAGGAAAATTAATTGAAATAATAACAGGTGTTCATTGCATAAATTACTGTGTGATCTCATTTTGAAAAACTATGTCTCGATTTTCAAAGGATATGCATTAAGGTATCAACATTGCTAGTGGGAATGTGATCTTTTTATTTTTGTTGTTGTTGTTGTTTTTTTTTAGCTGAGCCACCCTGCTACCTGTTGGCAGCTCAGCGGCTGCTCAGCTCGGGCTGGACTTGAACCACTGTTGCTCAGAGCTCAAACTCTTGAGCGAGCTCTTAACCAACTGAGCCACTCAGCCTGTTTTTATTTTTAATTGTAGCTTATCTGTGTTTTCTATTTTGCCCAAGGCATCTTACACTAATTGTTATAGAACTTTGTTTTAAAAATGTATGTTAATATTTACATATATAGTTGGGGTATACATTGACTGACCAAATCAAGAACATATGGTCATCAAAATATTAAAAGTGGTTTTGGTCATGGTGTCAGGAATTCAGGGCATTTTACTTTCTAATACTATATTATTTGAATACTTTTAAATGGGCGTGTATTATTATTATATAAGTGTATAAAGAGAAGAGGTGCAAAGCTGTTTTCCTGCAGGTATTCTGTCAGGCTATGACAATAGAGCACAAAGAGGACTGCAACAGGGTACAGCTTTTCTGCTTTTTCTCTGGTTGATTTGGATGCAATATCCACAGCAAAACCTTGGGAATGACTCATTCACCAGGAAAAGAGCATATGCTATTTGAATAAAGAAAGAAAAAGAGTAGGGAAGACGCTGTAGGATTATTTTATAAATTATCAAGACTTAAGTAGCACCTTTAATAATTATTTCCAACTACATAGTACATTTATTTAGGACAGGGACCTTAAGCTTCATTATATTGCCGTTCTCTGTATATCACTTTGAATGATGTTTAAATAAAACCCCAGCCGCAGTTTCGAGTAACACTCGGAAATAACCTTGTTCATTTCTGTCCTGTTCTGTGTGTCTCAATCTCAAGGCAGCTGTGTTGTAGGCAGTGGCTCTTGAACTTGGGAATCAGAAGTTTTACCTCTAGACTGAATTCTGTAACTTAGGCTGGACTCCTTTATAAAACAAGAAAAATCGTATCATTACGCTTGTGGTAAAGACAAATGAGATAGGCGGGACCCATCACAATCCCTGGCACATTGTGAGCCCTCAATAAAGGCCAGGTGAGTTGAGTTAACAGTGTTAAGTGCTGCTTTTGTAAAGCACTAAACGTGAAAGGGGAGCAGAGAATTCCTTGCTATAGCACCAGTACCCCCTCTTAGGCTCAACAGGTGCTATTTAACCTGCTTCCCCCTGAAGTACTGCTGTAGGTCTCTGAGGCAGTCACACAGCCACCCTCTGAACTCTAGCTCCGTACAACTCCCAGTGCAGATTCTGCGCAGGCGCAGACTCCTAAGGTGGGCTGAAAGCTCCGATGGGGCTTCGAGGAGAGGAAGTACGCTCTCGCTGCCTATTGTTGGGCCAATGGGACGGCGCGGCTTAGCCGCGAGCCTATGAGACGGGGCAGGAGGCGGGCGGAGGGCGGAAGGAGCCGCTGTCACGTGAACAGGGGGCGGGGAAGACGGGGGGCAGGGCGGCTGGGGAGGCCCAGGCGGCGGAGCCTCCGGGACTGCGAACGGCGGGCGGCGGAGGAGGAGACGGCGGGTCGGGTAGGGCCGCGCTTCCCCTGCTCCTCCTCCCACCTCCCTTCCACCAAGCTCGGGGGGAAATCCTCTGACGGCCCCGGCGGGGAGCCAAGCTCTGTTCTCATCCACGGGGCTGGGCCGGAGAGACTGCGCTCAGCTCCCTTGATGAGCAGGGTTCTGAGGGGAGCTGTGATTGGGGGGAGGGGGAAGCTACGGCTGAGGGGAGAGGGCGCATGCGCAGGTGGGAAAGCTCCTGGGGCCCCTGCCCAAACCGGTTCCCCCTGTCTGGGTGTCTGTTTCCCGAGTCCTGCACTTGAGGCGGTCCCTATTCCCGCCCCCCCTCCCTCCCGCAAGCAAAGCCGGTTTGTCTTTTGACTTTCATGTTTTGGGCCAGGTCCTATTTGGGAATCTGGCTGCTCCCTCCGCCTCAGTTTCTCCCCATTGCCCGCTGGGCCTGCATCTGATTAGGCTGGCTTCGGCCTCGGGCTGCCTTGCTGAGCTGCGCCTAATTTGGAAGACTTGTTTTCTTTTAGCTCGGCGGTCTGGTGTTGGCTTTACCATCTCATTTTCCCCACCTGCAGTTAAAGTGTCCCCGGAATCCCTCTCTCCCTATCTACTTTAAATACCTGCTTCCAGTACGTCTTTGCTGTGCCTTGATTCTCAGCTGCCTTCAGGGTTTGGGTATTGAGCTAGAGGATAACCCGACTTCCAGGAGTTCGCTGTCCATTGCCTGGTAGTACTTCGGTCGGTAGCATTCATACTTACCACCTGCACCTGCTTTTACAGGCGTCTCCATACTAGGGTTGCTCGGGGATTCCTTTAATTTGTCTTGGAAGCAAATGTCTTAGGACAGTGCTTTAAGAGATCAGGTGTCTGGTGCTCACACTACTAGTTCTCCGTTGGTTTAAAATTCTGTCCCATTTTGAATGTGAGATCTGTTAGCTTTCGTCATTTTTATCAATGGAAAAAACTGTCAGGGACAGGATTTCACAATTCGTTTGATATTTCATTTCAATAAACACCTGTATTCACATATGTGTAACTGGAGTAGTTAAGTCCTGAGCGCGCGCTCGTGGTGTGTGTGTGTGTTCGTTCGTTCCCAGCTGCTTTGTTTATTTAGGAAGTAAAAAACAATGGAGGGTGAATTGAACTGTGTCACATTAAACTCATGTTTGAAAAGTGGTTGAAAAAGAGCTTAAGTGCCACGGAAGTGCACATTTTTTTTTAAACAAAGGACCTGTTGGCCTTAATTCAAATGATACACACACACACACACACACACACACACACACACACATATGAGGCTTTTAAGTAGGTTTTACTAAAACTGCAAATGAAATAAGGAGTTTTTTATGATCTTTGTTTGTAGACCTAAGTTTGCATTAATAAAATTTGAGCCCAAGATTGATTTGTATTTATTGGTAACATTTAAAATTCACATGTAGCCTTAATACAAATTATTAACTCAAATTCATAATTAAAATAGAAATGTTGCTATGTTTGGTACACTTCTTTTTTTGTTGTTTTAGTTTTATAACTTAATTTACTGTTAATTAACTTATTGGCATTTAGATATATATTTTATCTGGGTAGGTAACCTATCAACTATATGCATTTTGGCATTTTGGGCATAGTGTTCTATTAATATTAGCCGTTTACAGGTGTTTAATCTGGATCAAATGGTAATTTAGTGAGACTGTAAAAGTGAAGATACCTGTTACTATCTTTTCTGCTGCATATTGAAAGAAGTGTATTGCACATTATCTACACGAGGGGTACATGATTTTCCACAAATACATCTCAGCTTTACAGATCAGATTCTGTAAAGAAGTTATTGTCTCTTGTGTATATTTCGAGCTAAACTACAGCCTAGATTCTTTTAAAGAAGTCATTGTCTTTTATTGAACGTGTTTCCAGCTAAAATGAAGCCTACTTTGAAGGTCTCATCATTTCACAATAATTGTTTGAACAAGTGACCTTTGAGTACAGGCTTCAGAAAATAATTCTTTTAAACCAGTGCTACTGTTGAGTGGCTTTATAGACAATGGTATGCTGGGGTTCTGACATAGGCTACCCATAATGTTATCTTTGTAGTTTTCAATAAAATTAGATATCATTAGTCTTGTCAAGCATGTGGAATAAATGAATATAAAACTCTTAAATAATCTTCCCTGGAGATAGAACTCAAATATTAAAGAAGTGCCAACTTAACGAATATACATAAAACAGTTGGGCATGACATGTGGGTGTTTTGTATGTAGCCGCCTCATTTTATTGGTTTTCTGTAGTTAGATCCCAAAGAAAGACAATCCAAGGCTAAGGACTCAGTGTCCACTGGTATACATGAAAAAACACCATATAAACTTAACAGCTGTTTTATTTGTGCAATAATCTGGTTACCTTGTTCCGTCCCTCCCTTCCCCCAATTTTCTGATGGTCCTGAGATCATCATTCTTTAAAAAACTTGTAAGTCAAAACAATGCTAGGTAGACATTTAAACTTACATTGTAACCACTCTTGTTGACTCAACAGCCTTGTTTCTCTTCCTGTGCAAAGACTATCTGACCAAATATGGCAGTTTGCAAGTCATGAACACTTTATAGAATTTAGCCTGGAAGTTTTTCTCTTTTCAAAGCAACCGTAATACTCTGACGTAGCCATCGGTGAGAATTTTTTGAAGATTTTTTCTATCATAGTAGAGCTCTATAAGGCCTAACTTTCCCCTGTCCATTTTTCCATGGATCATTAAATAGTAAAAATAAAACTTGTTTTTAAGTTCATGCGTGACATTAAACAGTATATATTAGGTTGGCTTTTAAAACATGAGAACTATATCGTCTTAATTGTATGGTTATGATGCTAAATTTGGAGGTTTGCACCTCTCTAAGAGTTAATGTATGGCTATGTATCACCAGTTAACGTTGCATCAGCTTTTATGAGTCACTACTCCTTGGGATCTATTAATCTTTGCAGCAATAAATTTTTCTCCATACCAAAATCTGGCATTTCTTGAGCTACATTAGCAAGTTAGTTCCTGTGGTAACTTTAACAAATGCTATTTCTTAAAGCGTAACAACAATTTGACTATTTTTTAAATTTATTTTTCCCGTTTTATATTATTTATACATTTTGGTAATTATAACCATCAAGCAATGGTTATAATCTTGTTTTCCATTTTCTGAGGGTAGGAAAAAGTGGATATACAGAATCTTTCTTTGGGAACATGTTTTAAATATCATTAAGGGTATTAAGAGACATCATTCAAGGCTAAATTGGATTAAATGTTGGGCATTTGTATAATACTATTGTATGGAAGATCCGTGAGTTAATCATTTTAATATTTTTACTGTAGACCAATAAACTCTCATATGCCCTTGAAGTATGCTGATAAACAGATCCTGGCAATGTAAGAGTAGGAACATGTCACATAAATCCCTTTTGCTGGGACACACTATTTTCTTTGAGTAGACCTCTGATATATCTGCAGAAGAGAAATGGTTATATCTTTATTGTACTTACCTGTTCAATTCTCTATCATCTGAAGGAAAATCTGATTTCTAAAATCATTCCCTAGCAGAAAGTCGAGTTTTTTAGATTTTTGCTTTTGATTGTAATGAAAGATCTTTTCAGATAGGTTTAAAACACTTGTGGAACTTAATTATTCGTGAATTTTGAAAATCTTACACAGTGCCTATTCCAGTGCTGTGAATGAAGGTGCTCAGAAAATGTTTATTGATTGACCACACTTATCAAATGTCTCACCATCCTTGTGTAACTATGGACCAGGGCCTTCTTATGTCAGAAGGTGCGAAAACGTATGAGTCTTCTGCCAGGCATTCGTGGTTTGCTTGTACATATTCCCCTGAAAATCAAACCGAGGTCACAGAAAAGAGAAACCAATTTACTGCATTTACCTTAGGCTTTGGTTATCTATTGAAGGATTTGCTTACTTGGCATTAAATTCACACATAGTTTAAAAAGAAATGAATAATTTAATTGTTTCAGATGTAAGTGTAGAAAGGTTGATATTTTAAATAGAATAGTTTTATTTTCTTCACAGTGGATGAGAAGGAACAAATTAGGAACTAATTTCCTAAAAGGAGGAAAAGTTTTTGTATGGTCCTGCATTGCTCAAAAATTCTCATTTTTTATATTTATAAAACACTAATGTAAACTACTCTTTAAAACTCCGTTCCAGAAAAAGACAAGGCTACCTTTTTTTTTTTTTAATCTATATTAGTAAGGTCAGAAATATAATCTGACCTTGTGAATGAGTAGTATAATACTTTAATATTTAAGTTAACTTGCCCTGTGGAGATAGATATCTATTGTAGAAATGGCATCCAAATAATTTAAATATTTAGTTTCAGAGCTACTGTGTTGAAGTGAAGCATACCTCGAGTTCTGGAAAAATATTAAACTACTGTTTCCTGAAATATCCACAGGACCGTGGGGAAACCACTTATATGGTTTATTTTCTCAGGTGTCAGCAGTATTACACTTAATCAACACAGCATTAAATGAGTTGTTTTAGCCTCATTTCATCCCCTCTTCTTTCATCTTGTACCTTTAATTAGTGGTATCATGATACAGAGGGGAGAGTATAAGCTTCAGAATCAGAAAGATGCAGATATCCCAAGTCTTGCACTTACTGAATATGAATATGTGACTGAAGGTAAGTTACTTAATGACACTGAGACTCAGTTTCTTCATTTGTAAAAATGGAACTAATTATGCTTACGTTATGGATTAGGAGTGGAAAGCAAAGCACCAGGCATTCCCCCCTCACCCCCCATTCCTGGATACTCATTCACAGAAGAATTGAAAAGGCTCAGTCCTCTCATTGTACACGAGAAAACTTAAGCTACAACATCATCCATATCATATCAAAAAGGACCAAGAAGTTCAACTCCCTGTTTTTTTTTATATTGTACCAAACTGCTGACTTTAAAAAAATCTTAAGCTTGATTACTCATGAGAAAATAACTGAAAACATTGGCTGTCTTCTTTAGGAACGTCACTGC